TGAGGTTTCCCTCAAGCTGACTCCCCACTCGTGATCCCCACTCCCCACCCTTGTTCTTTCCCTCTCTTGGTTACCCAAGGCCTTCTTTGCTCCCACCCCAGCTTAGATTTTCTCTTTCATAGTGCACAGTGCTTCTTCATTGCATTGTCTGTGTTCAACCACGCACTTGCTTGTGTGTTTTCCCATTTATTACCTCTCTAATGAGATGATAAACTCCAACATGGGTATTTGGATCTCACTCCCCAATGTGTCCCTTAGTACCTTGCATGACAGAGGCACTCCACAGTGAATATAAAGCATTATTACTTAATTCTCCAACATAAATACAAACATTAGCCTCTTTATTAATATATAAAAGTTCCTGTCATTTGGGTCACTTAGACCTACTGAGCTTAATCAGTCTGGATAACTAGAAAAAGTCAGATACAGGTCCGGGTGTAGTGAGGATCCGCTCTGTCCTCTCACCTCGGGGGGCCTGGATGAGGTGGTTGCAGGCCAATTTCTTTTATGTCTGCTTCTCCAAGCTTCTTGACTCTAAGCATTTCGTATGGTGGCTTTCTTTAGGATGTTACACTGACGCGGGGGAGAGGAAAACTGAAGTGTACAACAAGTAGTATAGGTATAAAGCAAACTTCCTGATATCCCCCGTTAGGTCTAATTTGTGAGAAAGTTGTACAAGGAGAAAGGTAGCACTGTATAGCTTGCACAAAACTGTCTTCTCGTTTCTCCCCCAAACGCAAGGCTGCTTCGAAGGCCAGGCATTCTAAATTAAACCGTTGTGGTATGACTTCCCTTACCTAGAGTGGCCATGTTCCTGCTCTCTTTCAATCCTTCTGCATTTCTCCCTCACTGATAAAATAACATGGAATCCATGTCCCTGCGCAGCCCGAGTCTTACCTTGCTCTTGTGCTTCCTGTCCCCTCTCTTTCTTCTCACACCTTCATTCTCAGTCTTTCCAGTTTACAAGTCCTTCAGCGCACCGTGTTTGCTTGTGCTTTTGGGCTTGGCATACAATTTTCTCCAACAGTCTCTACATGGTAAATCCCACTGCAGCAGTTCCAGGGCACTTCTCTCCTGAAGTCTTTCCTAACGATGACACCTTCGTCTCTTTCTTATTGTATGGGTCTTGTGCTAATTAGAATGGTCTCTGCCTCCTCCACACCAGAATGTGAGTCCTGTGGCAATATGCGTGACATTCACTCTTCATTGCATCCCACAGTCTACCGCAGGGTCTCAAAGAGAGCCAGGCCCAGGAAAAATTCCCTTTCTGGGGGCTATCCAGAAGTTCAAAACCAAAAATTTAGGTCCAGTTTGCAGACTTAAGAAGTAGTAGATTCACTTTCTGGGGCTAACCAAACTCTCAATTCATTTCTCCTCTTCCACAAAACCTCATTTGACCCTGTAGAAATGAGTTGTAGAGCAAGGGGCAAGGTGGGCTTGAAGGCCTTGTGTTGGTTTCAGGTTCAACAGACGAACTTCTTTCTAACAATAAGAGGACATGTATCTCAGCAAGCAAACCTTGGGCAGGGTATCAATTCCCAGACACCTGAAATACATCTAACTCTATAAATAGAAAGTCCCTTTTGCATTACCTCTGAAGTTGGTTGTTTTTATTAAAGTCAGATCTGGAACTATTTGTGTGCCTGTTTAATGACACACATCTTCCTCATCTCCCCTCCAAGCCTAGTATTTCAGGAAGATTCATTGTAAATAATAAGATGCCCATTTATATTAGTGGAGGTAGGAAGAAATGTGCTGGGTGGCTACATGTATAAATGTGTTAGCAGCTCCATTCTTCCAAGGATGTGCATTGAGAATTGGAGTATAGGACTCAGTGACTGGCCGGGCTTGACTTTTCTGATGGGACCTGTAACACATCTGGAACTGTGCTCCAGGATCTGAGTGAAGTGTACATTTCCCTAGAAGAAAAGAAGACTGGAATCATGTTGGAGGAGGGTTTAAATTCACTTGTTCATTCAGTCATTGAAATTTTACTTTATGAACATCTACTATGTGTCAGGCACTGTACTAGGAGTCCAGGGATCCCCTGATGAGTAGGATAGGGTCAGGAGGCACCGATGTGCACAATGATAATGTTTTGGTTTTTGAGAAAAAATTATGGTGCTTGGAGGGGGATTATTCATCCCACCGGAACATGGAGTCGACAAGGAGGGCTTCACAGAGAAGGTACCACTTTACCACCTATGCCAAGAAAGCATTGAAGAACAGGGAGGATTCACCTGTTGTACCAGAAGGAAAGGTATCCCTGGCAAAGGAATGAGCAGAGGGATGTCAGCAGAAGTTTGAAAGGGTCAAAGTGCGTGGGATTCAGATTTATATTTACCAAGATACGTTTCTCATAGTGAGCATGTAGCCTTTCAGTTCGGGCTTATTTACCTTTTGTGAGACAAAGTACTCTGGAAAAGTCTAATCAAAGCTAATGATCTCTCTCCACGTACAACCAACCCCAGGAAAGTGTGTTGTCTCCTTGTCTCTCCCCCTCCCCCCTTTTATTTGGTACTTGGGATCAGCCTCTGGTCCTTGGGCTTGGAAGGCAGGCAGTAGAACCACTGAGCTAAATCCCAGCCCCTGCTTTTTATTGTTTTCATGAAACTGTCCCAGTTGACTCAAAGAGTTAAGAACTCATGAT